AAAAAAAACTATGGTAAAGTGGTAAAGCTATGGTATGGTGGTAATTTGAAAAACAGAAACTACAACATTGATCAGGTGTTGTAGAGTCTGACAGCGGCAGGGATGAAAGACCTGCGGAACCTCTCCTTCTTACACCGTGGGTGTAACAGACTGACATGGAACGGAGCATATTCAGGGCAGCCCACAGTTGTCATGGGGTCCCCCCCATTCCCCAACTGGTCAAGCGCAGGATGACCACCCCCACCTAGAGGCGAAGGTCTGCTCCGACGGTTTCTGCCCTGTTAAAAGCAGTTTTCCTTGGGGTCCCGCCAAGTGCTTGCTCGATGGTGGTACTGGTGTGGGTCTCTCGTTAGAATGTGTAAAAGAGTTCCGTCAGACCTGCTCTATTTGAAAATGTCCTGGAATAACCCTTCTCTGTTATGAATTGGCGCTATACAAAATAAAATTGAAGTTGAATTGAATTGAAAATTCATTCCGGTTTTCAAAATAAAGGTATTAAGAACAGTTAAACGCTATAATATACATTTAAAATAAAATATGTTAGCCACAGCTGCCCCAGTTGTCAGAAATGGAATATATATTTATAGGTATGTTTTCATTAGTGTATAATCACCTGAATATAATAATTATTGTATTTTTGTTACCTTGGAAGGAACTTCATGGAGTCTGCCATGTTGAACCTCCATTTTTCTACAGTAGCCCAAAACGGACAAACCAAGCACTGGCTCTAAATAGGACCTATCGTATTTTCAGTGAGCTTCATGGCCACCATAGTTTCTCATAGACGCTTCACAGTCCATTCCTATTCTCAGGTCGCAAGTGGTGTTCAGTTATTTGCAATCTGCAAATTCACTGCTAGATGCCACTAAATCCTACACACAGTCCTTTAAATGGCAATATTTCAAGTTTGGATATATACCCTACATTACATAATTATAACTATTGTGTATTTGGGTTAACTGCCAGCATTCAGAACTATAACAACCTTATACAGTGCTACTATTTCACTATCTACTGTGTGATAAAGTTTAATTTATGTTAATCTGTCCAGATTGTGACTGGAGACGTTCATTACTGTACTTGACTGTACTCGACTTGGCTGCTGCTGACACCAGATCTCATACATACTCACTACCCTCAACACCTCTTGTTGAACTGCTCCCCATATGCTGAAGAGTACTGAAGAGACCACTTGGGGGCTTTAGACCAGCCAGATTTATTCATGTACCAGAGTCAGACAGTGGACTCAGTGCTCCTTAACCTGTGGATACTACAGTCTGTATATTGCTTTACTTCCCATCAATAAAAGCACATCTTGTTAGTGTGTCCTGCACTCTTGGAAGCTTGGAAAGTTTGATATAAGTATGTACATGTCCAGATTAGATTTACTCTGAAGCAACTCAAGACTCAAAGTAGTTTGGCCTCAAGGTGGCACCAAACCTGACAAAGGCCTCTGCAGTCACTGTGCCCTGCTGTTGTTCACCAAGAAATAGGGCCAGCACATAGCACACATGATCACAAATTATCATTTACATTTCTCTTTATGGTTAATCTGCTAGAGGACAGGTTAGCTGTTTTCCCGTCCTCAGGTGTTTATGCTAAGCTAAGATAAACCCGACTCCAGCTCTGTACAAACATGAGATTGACACTATTCTTCTCATCTCACCTATATCAATTTCACAAATTATTGAACTATTTAATTGCATCTTCCTCTTTCAAGTTTCTCCAGTCAGAGTGACCTTCAGATCTCAGGTCTGTTTCTCAGACATCTACACTGCAAGGCCTCTTAGATTAGAATGTTTCCTTTACAAATATGATGCAAATAGCTATGCAAACAGCAGCCAAAGAGCAAAACAGAAACACTTGGTTTCTCTGTGCCCCCGTGTCTCATGAAAGCTATCATGGGGTCTGTCTATTCCCTGCATTATGAATTATGGATCACTGCTAATAGGCTGTTTCTCCCTTGTTTAACTTATTGTGGCCACAGGCTCATCACTGACGCCTGCTTCTGCTTGGACTCCCTACCTCAGTGCTTATCACCTACACCCTGCTTCCCATCACTGTGTTATTGTCTCATTATTACATTACAGAGGCAGGGGCTCCAGTAGCTCAGGGAGGAGGAGGCAGACAGGGTCTCTGTCCAAGTGACCCTCCCTGGGGACTTAACCCACACCATCCCACCTCGCTGCTGCATAATGGATGAAGGACAGACATTGGGAGGGAGGGGAGGAATTGGAGCGGGCGCCCTTATTACCTTGTGATTCATTTTTAATGAGGTAAACAGGTCTTTCCAGGTCACCTGTGAGCTCACACACACCCATGGCGGGTGGTGTGTCTTCCCATCGGCTGCCTTATTGCTGCCCGCTTTGACATCCTCCATGGCTGCAGGGGCTCCATAGTATAATTAGGTCTCACTGTCATTGACAGAACGGGTCTCACTTCCCACAGAGTCCCTTTCCTTTTCTTCAAGTTAGATGCCACCAATTATACAGTGGCAAGAAGACCTTATTATAAGTGCTCCAGGCCACCTTTGCCTCACTTTTCGTCTTGCTGCCACTAGATTAAGTTTTCCAGCAGTAAGATATACATTTTGAATACCAGCACAATTAAGTTACTGTATATTGTTTCGTAATTGATTTCATTGCACTTTGCAGCTCATAAATTACATTTTAAATAGGTTGTGTAGTGGAAACCGGTTTTTGAAAATAGCCTGTCATTATTCAGTCCCTGGTAATGTCTCCAACCTTATGCAACACACTGCTGTAACATTCAGTGCAGGTAGTTGTTCTCTTTCTTTGCGCGGCATGTTATTGTAGCATTTTTCCGTCTGTGTATATGTTAAATGACAGCCGATAAAACGGGACATTGTAGCACTATTGTTGGAACTAAAATGGGCTCCCTCAAGCAGACGTCTGATGACAGGCGAGGATGCACGTATGCGTTGTCATCTGGGAAATCAAACCCGCTCAGTTCACTTGCTCTGAAAGTCGGTGAACAGGTACGCCTTTGCAAACAGGGAGGTAGAGAACTCCCACAGCAATTCCCTGCAAAACCTGCTGAGGTTGTGAAGGAAGGAGAGAAAGAGAGATAGTGCGACAGGAAGGTGAGAACAGGAACAGATGGAGAGATGCAGGGAATCTGCATTTACAGTCATTTAAAACAGGTGCTATACATAGCCACGCTTTCAACCCATCATCTCATCTAAATGATATCATTACAGCTAGAATTCATTAAAAAAGATTTATGCCCCCGGACTGTATAGATTTCCTCCTTCTCCCTGGGGAGCGAAGATGAAAATGAATTTAGGGCCCCTCAAGTCATTGAATTTGCTTTTTATCAGCCAATAGCCGTGCTACATATGTGCCATTGTGCTGTATATAGGATTAGAGAGGATCTTTTCTGCCTGACTAGCTACTTGCTCTCAGCAACAACATGAGGATCATTTCCCCTGCTGTGAAAAGCTTCACTCAGTCTGGACAAAACCCTCAGCACACACACACAAGCCCCCACCGGTGTTTGGTATGGATCTTCACTCACATACCACCAATCTTTATCAACATGTGGGGCACCAACTAAGATTTCAAGGTTGATTTTTTGTTGAAAACTGTGTGATAATGGGTCTAAGACCTCTTTTCAACCAGGTAAATGAAATTACAACATCAGTCTGTCCTTAAACACAAATTTGTTTAATCATTTTGACAATTTGTTCAGTTTTATGTTGACAAAGAAACAATATTATATTGATTGGTGTAAAGGTCTCTAAAGTCATATTGCACTGGTAGGAGAAATGTGGTCTACACAGAGACATCATTTCAATGCATTTCATATACACAGATCAGCCAAAACATTGTGACCACCTGGGCATCCCTGGTGGTCATAATGTTATGCAATGTTATGCAAGATTGGCAAAATCCTTGTTAACAGGAAGATGCTGTGGTTGAGTTGATTCATTACTGGACACACCCTCATGTCCTGCATGAAACGTTTTAATATGTTGTATCCAGGTGAAATGTGGTCTAAATGCGAACATTCAATCAACGTTTTCAAAAAAACGTTCACCTTTGATTTGGTACGTCTTTTCAACTGAAAAATGTTCACTGAGGCATTTGGGAATGGAAAATTTCCAAAAGAGATATATTTATTCTGCTTCAAAATTACTCTTTTCCTTGGAGACGTGTCATTATCACTTCTCAAAGTCTGCTCAAGAAATTATACATTAAGCAAAAGCCTGTATTTGTGAAGGTCTTTATCGTTCCCCACCAGCATCCCCACCAGCAAAGCCCTATATGATCAGTCTGAGGGGTCATATCCTGACTTAATGAGTGTCATACCATCCTCCACACACTGGCTCTCATGGAAGATCTTCTGATGCACGTTTCTCTGCCCTTTTAAGTTTTTTTCCTCAGAATAGGGCTTGATAGAAGCCTTGTAGCACAGGATCCTCCTGAGCTCTTTGTTCCTGTGTTTATTTGAGGAGGTTCTGCCTGTTTACATCATGTACTTAAGAGCAGAAAGGTTGGTAATTGCAACCAGCATACACTTGGTACCCGGAGCAAACTCTAATCAAGAAATGGTTACTGACACGATTGTTTGAACCAGTGCGTCAGGTTTCTACTTGGTGGTCCTCGCCTGAGCAGTTGAATGGATGAGTCTGTGGCTCAGAGGAAGAGTGG